GGAGTCGCCCACTCCATCTTTGACATTTGAGTCGGAGAGAGTAGAGAGAGAAAGATTTAGAGAAAGAGATAAAACTTTTATCCTCCAAGAATGTAAAATCTATACGCTCTGTCAAAGAGAAGGGAATGCAGGGAAAATAGAGTGAAATAAAAGATGAAGTGAGATAATTTATAGCCAAATTCATTACTGTTATAAACACGACACATTCCTTCTGTAACTGTGGACATCTGGAATGCACAATGTTGGTCACTACTGAAGAATAAAAAACATCGGAAGGGGAATTGTGGGAGGGAATGGTAATGCTTGAGATCTTCACTGACAGAGCCAAATAACATTCTCCAGGGCCTCTTTTTACACATTGTCATTTCTGCTGAAATTTGTTAGCTTTTCAGACATTACAAACCCTAGTCATCATAATTGGGATGTCTTCCAGTCGAATGTGGTTTCAAACAAAACAAATTTACTACATGGTCAGTTGAGTCTGTCTGCTGTTGTATTAAATGTTGGAAGCTGAACTGTCTGAGAAACATCGGATTTATAACCCAATTCCTAAATCTACAGCTCCATTGTAATTGAACAGCTGTGGACTTTAATTCTGAATAAACTTTTATAAATTATTATGAATAAAAAAAAACTTTTACTAATGATTGGTGCATTCTTCTAAATCTTTAGTTTCGAATCCGTGTTTTGGAGCGTGTTTGAGCAAGTAACATGATGTTTTGTTGTGTAATTTTTCTGATATTATAGATTACAATTTGATAAAAGTGCATGCGGTTGTTTAGTAGAACATGTACTTTTACACATTTTCGGTCTTCTGGTTGCTTTTACGCAGCTGAAAACTTGCAGGTGGCCTTTTGCGTTCGGACTTTTAAGTGCTTTTAAGAATTGGTAAAACAGAATTCACTTATGACCTGATTATTTTTGTGAATCACACAAAAAACTTACAGGTTATCAGTTTGCATTAGCCTGACTAATCCTTCACTGAATGAACTCTGCTGCAAAACTGTAAGTTCTGTCATGACAAGAACTCAGTGTGATTGACATGGTAATGGATATGACAATGTTGATATGTTTGGTCTTGGCGGAATAGATCTGCTACACTGCTGCTGTTGCTGCTACAGATTAAGAACGGGACTTGCTACTACCAATACATACACGACACACTGCTGTGAGCAAGTAGGCTAAGACGTGCTGCTGCTGTACAATATAGGATGAATTACCCGTAGGCCGTAGCAGATCTGTACAGGTGAAGTTGGGGAAGGTGGAGGGTTTCTGAAAGCGTGCTATGCTGCTACAGCAAATGCTGACCAGTATTTGAAGGTTGAGCAGCGAGCTCATTGGCTACTGATACAGCAAGAACCAATCAGCTGTGCCCTACAGAGAATGCTGGGATTTCATGCGGATTGAGTTAAAGGATTAGTTCACTTCAGAATTAACATTTCCTGATAATTTACTCACCCCCCCCCCCCCCACGTCATCCAAGAAGATGTTCATGTCTTTCTTACTTCAGTCGAAAAGAAATTAAGGTTTTTGAGGAAAACATTCCAGGATTTTTCTCCATATAGTGGAAGGTCCAAATTGCAGTTTCAGTGCGGCTTCAAAGGGCTCTGGAATAAGGGTCTTATCTAGCGAAACGATCAGTCATTTTCTAAAAAATAAAGTAAAAATACATACTTTTTCACCACAAATGCTTGTCTTGCACTAGCACTGCGATGTGCCACGCATTACCTTTTTTAGGTTCAAAAAGGTAGGGAAGGATGAAAACTTCCAAAATCGTCCGACATCTTTGTTTTACTTTTTATTTTTTTTTATTTTTTGTAAATGGCATTTGACTTAGTCTTTGCACGTTTGCTTTGTAAACACTAGGTCGGTATTTCCGCCTATGTCACGCGTGAGGCGTGACCTTTCAACATGATTACGTAGTGCGTTGTTAATCGCAGAGCTAGTGCAGGACGAGCATTTGTGGTTTAAAAGTATATAAATGTTTTTTTGTTTTTTTTTGAAAATGACCGATCGTTTCGCTAGATAAGACTCTTATTCCTCGGCTGGGATCGTGTATAGAGTCCTTTGAAGCTGCATTGAAACTGCAATTTGGACCTTCAAACCGTTGTATTCTATTGAAGTCCACTATATGGAGAAAAATTCTGGAATGTTTTCCTCAAAAACCTAAATTTCTTTTCGACTGAAGAAAGAAACACATGAACATCTTGGACGACGTGGGGTTGAGTAAATTATCAGGACATTTTAATTCTGACACTACTATAATACATACTGCATTCACCACCAGCCTTTCCCAGACTTGTCACTGAATATGATTCATATGGGCTTGTGGAAAGGTGGAATCACTTTACAGTGGAAATAAAATAAAGCAAATTCTTTCAACACACAATATGCACTTTCCACAAATCATAGAGTCAGAATGACTGGAAAAACATGTTGTTTATAATGATGTGGTCATGTCATTTCACTGAGATGAAACTGTATGTTGCCTTGGCTGTAGACTTTGAAGCTGTTGACTTTTGGGGTGGATGAATCACTCTAATGTGGAGTGCTAGGACGTAGGTGATAGACAGATGCTCGGGCGGGTGTTGATATGTTGATGTGGGGGTGTGTATGGGGGTGTGTATGTTGATATGGGGGTGTGTATGGCATCTTCAGAACAAACACCTTTACCATCTTCAAAGGGAAACCCTCTGAGAGGTCTGTAACATGCTGTGATAATCTGGCTCAGTGCCTATCTGCTGTTAGCTATCTTTAATCACAGCACAGAGTCTCAGGTTAATAAAGAGAAATTCAGTGTCTGTTGGAGACAAAAAGCTCAGCTCACACCCCACAACTGACTCAGCGTGTGTTCCACCATTAAAGACATTTAGAAGACAAATCACTTACTGATCTGTTTGTAGTGCAAACGTGACCTGAAATAAGAGAGTAGTAGGCCTATGTGCAATGTCCTGCTAAGAAGTGGCATGCAGTACAATAATTTATACACTACCGTTAAAAAGTTTGGGGTCGGTATTTTAAATACTTTTAAAAGAATTCTCTTCTGTTAACCATGGCTGCGCTTATTTGATTAAAAAATACAACAAAATTAAATATTATTCCAGTGTAAATCAGCTGTTTTCTGTGTGAATATATAGTAAAGTGTAATTTATTTCTGTGATCAAAGCTGAATTTTCAGCATCACCAGTGTCAGTGTCTTCAGTGTCAAATGATCCTTCATAAATCAGTATAATATGAGGATTTGATGCTCAAGAAACATTTATTATTATTATCAATGTTGAAACAGTTGTTGGTCTGTCAGTTGTACAGTTTTTTTTTTTTTTAGGATTCTTTGATGAATAGGAAGTTCAAAAGACTTTTGTAACATTATAAATGTCTTTACTGTCACTTTCGATCAAATTAATTATTCCTTGATAAATAAAAGTATTGATTTCTTTCCTCCAAAAAATAAAAATAAAATTCTCACTGACCCCAAACTTTTGAACGGTAGTGTATATCAGTAGAACAATAGCATTATTATTGTAATCACACGGATTTATGAGAATTATGAGAACATACAGTATATCTAACACTTAGTCTACTGTTTAAAAGTTTGGAGTCAGTAAGATTTTTTTATTTAAAGAAATTAATACTTTTATTAAGGAAGGATGCATTAAATTGATCAAAAGTGACAGTAAAGACATGTATAATGTTACAAAAGATTTTAATTTCAAATAAATGCTGTTCCTTTAAACTTTCTATTAATCAAAAATGTCAGTTTTCGTAAGAAATATTAAGCAGCACAACTCTTTTCAGCGTTTCTTGAGGACCAAATCAGAGTGATTTCTGAAGGATCATGTGACACTAAACACTGGAGCAATGGCTGGTGAAAACTTTGCCATTACAGGAAAAAAATTTAATATATAAAACATCATTTAAAATTTTAATAATATTTCACAACATTATTTGTTAATAATATGGTTTTACTGTTTTTTTTAATCAAATAAATGCAACCATGTGAGCATTTTTCCACAAAGCATTAAAAAATGTTACCGACCCTTTTTGATTACATAAACGCAGACGCCAGTGCTTGCTTTTGTCTGTAGTTAATAAACCATCCAATTCTCCAAAACTGTTCACCAAGCTTACAATTGAATTTCAAATTTGAAATCACCAATGAAATATGACAACAACTGTCTCATAAATTTTGGTTCTAAATGCTCTAATCATGACAAAAAAAAAACAGCAGTTTTCAGGCTTGGGTTTTTTTGCCATGATTCGAGCGTTTAGAAACAAAATTTATGCACTTTTTCCCATTCGTAAGTAATAGGAGTGAACCGTCTTTCTGTATATAAAGTCTTTGACTTTAATAAACTTGCAAGCAAGGTTCTATTTAGCTGTTGCTCCGCTGTAAAATAAGTTTATACTTATGTTCATAATATCAGCTCTTGCAGCACATTGTGTGCTCTGATACACAGTAACACAGCGACGCACAAAAATCTACTTTTACGTAATTGCTTAATTCCGAAAAAAACTTTGGCACGTAATTAATCCTGCACTTGTGTTTGTGCTATGGACATGAATGCTACTTCATGTAATGCAGTTTGTTGTGTAACTTTCTAACAACCCCTTAGTAAACACATAACAACACACTACAAACTACTCAGAACACTATAGCAACTGCATAGCAACAGCCTGGCAATCACCCACAATTGTGGCAGTGAGTTTTGCAAAGGCAAGCACTGCTCATAATTTCCTTCATATAGTTTGAGATGGAGAACTTGGTACAAAGATTTTCTTGATGTCTGACTCTGAAGATAAATATGATTTTAAACAGGATATAAGAAGTCAGCACAGGACGTGAGATCAGAGATTGCAGGGTTTCTCGTGTCTAGCTAGAAACCACTGTGACCCAAAGAAAACGAGCACAGAGACGTCTCTGCAAGGTCGTTGCCATGGGTACACGGAGGAATACATGACTTCCTGTGTGTTCTGATGCAAAAGCGCTCTCTGTTTTTCAGAACTCTATGAACCTGCCGCCAGATAAAGCACGTCTCCTCCGGCAGTACGATAATGAGAAGAAGTGGGACCTCATATGTGACCAGGTACAGCCTCCACAGTGACCCACTTTTATGCCACACCCTTGCTTCTGTAATGCAGTCCAGAAGAACATGCCTCCTCCAACAATGGTGTCGTCGACATGACCTTTAAAATTATTATTAACAAGTTAAGAGAACAAGTTGCTTGACATTTTATAGACACTTAGAAAGTTATATAAGATTTTAATTATTTCTTACACAAAAGAAAAGGTAGATTACAGGATTCTGAACAACAGGATATCATTTAAAGGAACAGTACACCCAAAAATGAAAGTGCTGTCATAATTTACTCACCCTCATATTGTTTTAAACCCATATTCTTCTTTGAAACTTCTTTTCCATGCAGTTAAAATGAACGGGGACTGAAGTTTTCCATTAGTCATATGGATTATTTTTATGAACATTTTATGGTGATTTTGGTCCCCATTCATTGTAATTGCATGGAAAAGAGCAGCCTGTACAGTCTTTTTTTAGAGAAACTGTACCATTAGGTAAAATTGCACATCTTGTTAAATACAGGATCATGTAGAAAAAAGGATGACTTCAATGTCTTGTAAAACTACTATTTATAAATGTCTAGTCATGCATCTTGACAAATCTATGTTGCTGAAAAAGGGAGTTCATAGTTACAGTAAAAAAAAAGAATAATGTTTTTTAAACAAACAATATGGAATGTTAAGAATATGTGCATGTGTTAGATAAAACAGAACATTCATATTTTATCGTAGATGTTTAATAATCTGTGTATAACTTTCTCCCCCTCTTCTGGTTGTTAGGAGCGTTTCCAAGTGAAGAATCCTCCACATACATACATCCAGAAACTACGTGGATATTTAGACCCAAGAGTCACACGCAAGGTCAGCATCATCCTCTAGAAAATATAACCAATGTCTGTTTCTCAGCTGGTTTCATGTGAACATTATTTACAGCAGTTAAAGCGGTTGTGTTGTGAGAAATCAAATTTCCCTTCATCTCTTTTAGTGAATGTTCTTTTAAAACATATTGTAACTTTAAAACTTAAAATTTTCTTCCCTGTACAAAAAGACTATCTATTAAAACTGAACTTGGCTTGTTCTGAACTTCCACAACTTACTGAAGACAGATGAATTCTTTACATAGAAGACTAAAATCAACAGCAGAGAAAAATAGCCCCTTTAATTCTAAAGACAGGGAGGAAAATGGGAAAGAAAATACATATGTAAAGATTTTTATATACATTTATATACAATATAGAAATTGTTTAAAATTTTGGGGTCAGTAAGATTTTATTTAATTCAGCAAAGACATTTGTAACATTGCAAAAGATTTCTGTTTAATACATAAATGCAAATTAATGCTCATCTTTTGAACTCTCTATTCATCAAAAAAGAAAAATCCTTAACAAATGTATCACAGTTTCTACAAAAATATTGAGCAGATAAACAGTTTTCAACATTGATAATAATAAATGTTTCTAATTCAAAGCAAATCAACATATTAGAATGATTTTTGAAGCTTCATGTGACACTGAAGACTGGAGTAATGATGCTGAAAATTCAGCTTTGCCATCACAAGAATAAATTACATTTCAAAATATATAAAATAGAAATAATTTATTTTAAACTGTAATAATATTTCACAATATTAATGTTTTTTTAACTGTATTTTAGACCATAAACCATAAACCAATAACTTTAAACTTTTGAATGGCAGCGTATATGCAGAACATTAGTGTTGACATATTTTATTCGCTAAAAGGTTAACCATAAATGTTGTTTTACCTGGCACTATTTAGTGTTTTTTGAAATGTTTTAAAAAAACTTTATTCTGGGGAAGTTGCAGAGTTTTCTCCAAACATGCTGATAATCATCAGTTTCTCTGTGTGCAGAAATTCCGCAGGAGGGTTCAGGAATCCACCAAAGTCCTTCGAGAGCTGGAGATATCACTGAGAACCAATCACATAGGGTGACTAATTCCTGTCTCCTCTCATTTAATCCTTCTTTTACATCTCTTCGTCTTGTGCTGATCTCTACAAATACCCTTCCCAGCAATCACCCGGAGTAACATCCCATGATCCTCCAGTAACCAATGCATTGAGGTTATGAGGCTCCTGTATACAGTGCAGGGAACAATAGCACTGCTAGTGGTATGGGTGGGAAGCTGTGGTATTGTTTGGCTTTCCCCCTCTAAAGAATCACTCTTTCTTTGTTCTTCCTGTTGTAGAAAGCTAGAGGTAGTGTTTGCCCGTGCACAAATCCCTGCTGTTGGGCTGTTCTGCCAGCTTCCCTGTGCTTATAGCACTGTCTGTAGACCTCGGCAGCGTCCAGATGGTTTTTATTCATCTCGTCCCGCACACACAACCCCCTTAGCAGCTTTAGCAAGCAGGAAGCTGAGTAGTGTATGCCGGAGAGCCAGGAAGCCTGGAGCATCCAACAATGTATGAAAGGACACGTACACGCACACACACACACACACACACACACACACACACACACACACACACACACACACACACACACACACACACACACACACACACACACACACACACAAAGCTTTATAACTCACATTGATGAACGCAGACAAAACACTGACACAAATCTGCAACACAATGAGGTACAATGAAACATTGACAACTGGGAACATCTTTTCACTGTTTACATTCCGCTTTCAAGGACACACACACACTTATACATACAAAAAGCAATGTGTTGTGAAACTGTGACGCCATTCACACACAACCGCATGCTTTGTTACATCCGTACCAACTGTATGAACCCATACACATAAGCGATGGGAAGTAACTAACTAGCAGTAGTGCCCTTACTAACTTTACTGCATATTTTAATAGTCCAGCTGTTTTACATATTACAAAATGCTACAGTGACATATTACAAAATGTCACATTGTTTTGTGCATTATAATAGGCAGTTGAGAGAATTAAGTCAATAATCAAACACACTCACACTCAAAAAGCACTGGAAAAATTGTATTCATTTGTTTGGACCGTGCAAATGAACAATTCAAAAATAATGCTTCATCGGTCTCCACATAGTAGCAAATAATTTTAGATATTTTTTGTGGCAAAATATTCAGTTACATGCTGCTGTTTGGTGCTGTTTTGAACTCATTTATATAAATTAGGTTGCATTCTAGTTTTTGTTTATTGTATTTAGTGTGAACTTAGTCTGTTTATTTTAAGAGAGAAGTTTATCAATTCAATGCTAATTTACACTAAAATAATATTATTTAAATGTATATTATTTATTAAATATTTTATATCATTTATGATTTTTTTTGTATTATCATTTTGTTTTATTAATATTTTAACATTTTATAACAGCAATTTTATATTTTAAATGATACATTTAAAGAATAAATTATATCATCTTATATTTAAATATTTAAGAAGATATTGTTCTTCAGTTTCTAGCTAATTTTTTGTTAGTTGTCCGTAGTTCAGCTAATATCTCGAACACTCAGTTATCTTTGATGTTTGATTCTTTTTCATGGACTTTTAGTTTGTTATCTTCAATCACATGTGTTTCTTTAGGCTTGTTTGACTTGAACCAGCGCTGCACAGACCGATCGGTGAATGACATCAATGTACCTTGAGAGCGAACAGAGAACAGACGGCCCCGTATGCTTTTGATTCGCTCTTGCGGTACTTCGATGTCATAAACCAATCGGTCTGTGTAGCGCCGGTTCAAGCCGAACAAGCCTTTTGTCTTAGTTTCCCGCCAGTCAACAGTTGTCATGGACACTCATCTAATCATCACACCTGTTCGTTATCATCTCATTATCACTGTGTATTTAAGTTGTTCTGTTTCATCCTTCATTGGTCAGTTGTTGTTTGTGTTTAGACACGCTGTTACTTTGCCTTCGTGGATTACCTGAGGTTGTTGTCATTAAAGGATAATTTTTGTTTATTGAACCCTTTTTGGACTCTCCTTCATCTTGTGACAGAACAACCAACCTAATATGGATTATCGTCTTGCCGTCACCAGCAATACCAGCCCGTTCTCATCCTTTGGCGTCATACATGTGACGCTTTGTACATTTCGTTGAAATCTTACCCACATGGCATCCTTTAGCATCAATATGAGACACAGAACCCAAGGCGTCATACAGGTGACGCTCGTCTAAATCCAACGCATCGTTTAGCGTGAATTTGAGACGCAGATCCCAAGCCGTCATAACCGTAACCCTACCCCAGACCTAAACCTACCCATAACGTGTTATATTGACGCTAAAGGATGCCATGTGCGTAAGATTTCGACGAAATGTCATATGGCGTCACCTATATGACGCCAAAGGATGAGAATGCGTTGGCAATACCCTGTATTTTTTCTGGATCGGGGCTAATTATCATTACCCTGTAGACCTGGAGAGACCCTATCCCCGGTCCAGAACACAGCCAGACCCAGAACCCGTTTCACCACCTTCGACTGCGGAGAAATCGGAATCCCCCACAGACAGAGAGTTACCGCCTGCTGCGACGCGTGAGCCAGAGCCCGAGATGAAAAGGAAAGAGCTGAACCCCGCTGTGAGTCTGACCAGGGGTGTGACCCCACGACACTAGAGGGAATGCTGGTGGAAACTGAGGACTGGCTGATGGTCTTCAATGCAGGCGTATCAACACCCACCCGGTACTTCATCATCGCTGTTTTAAGACAGCACTGAGACCTGTAGTCTGAATTCTGTCTGTCCTTCATCACTGTTTTAAGAAAGCACTACATCGAAATTCACTAAATTGAGAACGATTTCCATCTGCCGCCATCACTGCAGAGATCAGCCAGTCCTACAGCCCCGCCTCTGCTAGATGTTTGTAGCCCTTCGCCGTCTCTAGGGAAGCCTTGCTGTGACATCGAGCCTCAGGTCGTTCAACCACCAGCAGTGCCTGAGCAAGAGGATCCTGCGGCTCTGCCTCCAGCATCTGATCACTTCGCTCCATCTCGGCCCGTCGATCTGACAGCTCCGCCTTGGCTCCTCCCACCTTCAGCTCCAACAGAGACCCTTGACCTTGCGGATCCACCGGGTTCCCTAGTTCCACCGGCTCCCCTTGGTCACTCGTCACTTGCGGGCTGTCACCTGTTCCTCCACCTCTACGGCTACAGCGGGTTCCTCCTTCCCTTCAGCTTCGCCTCTGTCCTCCGTCACACCAGCTCCGCCTCAGATGATCATCGTGGCGGCGGCATCACCTGGGTCTCCAGTGCCAGCGATATCGCTCAGTTCGGCTGCATCGGCCTATCATCATCATCCTCACGTCACTATTCCTCCATTGCCATCTCCTGTCACTATCCCTTCGCCGGCCCCTTGCCCACCTCCTAAGCCCCCATCCTCACTGCCTCCCTCATCTGTTTGTTATTGTTATGGCGCGAGGTTGTGCCTTCCAGGAGGGGGCGTAATGTCACGAACGCTCAGTTATCTCTGTTCTTTCATGGACTTTTAGTTTATCTTCAATCACATGTGTTTTTTTGTCTTGGTTTCCCACCAGTCATCAGTTGTCATGGACACTCATCTAATCATCACACCTGTTCATTATCATCTCACTATCACTTTGTATTTAAGTGTCTCCGTTTCACCCTTCAGTGGTCGGTTGTTGTTCATGTATGCATGTAGACACGGTTACTTTTGCCTTAATCTTCATTGGTTACCTGAGGTTATTGTCATTAAAGGACCCTTTTTGGACTCTCCTCCTCAATCTTGTGACAGCTAACTACTTCTTAAAAAGTTTAAAAGGCGGTAATTTGAATTACTTGCATTGAGTAGCTGTTCAAACTACTGTTTCAAAGTATCTTCCTGAACACTCATACACAGGCACATAGAATGTGAGCAAAATCTCAGAAGACACTGGTAAAATATGATTCTGAATTACTTCCTTTGTCTTCTGTGTGAGCCATAAATAACCAATACACTCCTCTCCTGCATTATTAAGAGCTAGGGGTAATGTGTTTCTCATTAAGAACAAAAGGAAAAGAACAGGCAGGCCATTTTCGCTGACTTTTTGGGGCTGGATGAAATGGAACAGAGGACTGTTTATTGCATGTGTCCGATCCCTGGCCTCTTTCCGATGTGCTACTCCTTGCTTTGCCAAGACAATCTGAAATAGCATCTGGCCGGACAGGAAAAGAGTCTAAAGGGGAGCGGGGAGCGGGGAGGGGGAGGTGGTAGACAGGAAGCTGATGATCGAGTGAGCCCCCACCACCTTTTCAATCTGAAAAGTCTGTTTCTTGCTCAGTCGCACTTTTTTTGTCTGTCTTTCCTGTGCTCTTTTGGGAGTCTTGTAGCTTTTTTCTGATGCGTCCATGGCCATTTAACAATAGCGATAGATTTCAACTAATCATTACAGCTTGTGTTTGAGAGGTAAAATAAGAATGAAAATGAGAGACTAGCAGAAAAGGGGAGGCAGTCTAAACACTCCCACTGTCAGAGATTTAACCTCCTCTCTCAAGCTATGATCTCCACGTTCCTTTGCTCTGCATGGTGGGAATTCCTTTTGCTTTAAGTTTCCCCCCAGAAATCTGGAGCTAAATGAAGGAAATCTAAAACTAGCCTCTATTCTGGACTTTCCATATTAGTCTTGCCAAACCAGTCAACTCTGAGCTTGATTTTAAAGTCAACATGAAACAACATTTGCTACTTCTATAATATGGTGTATTAATGCAATAGGATATTTAACAATAAAAAGGGGCTTGATGTTATCCACCAGTGATGAATCATTAACAATAAATCCATGTTCACTTGTCAGTCTGAGGTTTAAGTTTGATGTCATGTTGACAGTCTAGAAAAATAACTGTTTTATTTCTTCACTCCTTTTTAAAATCTTTGTCTCTGTCTTTCATATTTAAACATTTTAGTCTTTGTTAATCTGATCTGTTTGGTGAAGTTTGGGGTCTGTAAAAAAGATACACAAGAAACATTTCTTCTTATTATCAATATTGGAAATGATTGTGCTGCTTAATATTTTTGTGGAAAGAGTGAGACATTTTTTCAGGATTGTTTGACAAATAGAAAGTTCAAAAGAACAGCATTTATTTGAAATCGAAATCTTTTGTAATATTCTATGTCTTTACTGTCACTTTTGATCGATTGTATTAGATCCTTGCTGAATTTTAGTAAATATTTCTTACTAACCCCAAACTTTTGAATGGTAGTGTATATAGAGTGTTTGATTTCAGTAGGATGTTAACATCATCTGTCTCTTTAATGTGGCAGGTGGGTTCGTGAGTTCCTCAATGATGAGAACAGAGGCCTGGACATCCTGGTGGAGTATCTCTCCTTCGCCCAGTGTGCCGTCATGTAAGTGACACACCCTAAAAGCAACCAACCACAGTCAACTTCACAACACGCCAATCCATGCACCATCTTTAGGACATTTAAAAGATCCCAACAAGAAGCCAGGCTTCCGCTGTAGATAAGGACTGTGATGAATTCACTGTTGTTTAGTGATTATGAGGGTGCTGGAGGCCTCGTTGTAGGTGCGCTGCATTTTGTTTTGTGCTTTGTTATGCCCTGCTATATTGTGCTTGGATGGTCCTGTGCGGCTCTCTGCAAAACCCTGGACCCCCTGTTACTGAGCTCTGTTGCTAACCCTCCCCACCCTTACCCCCGCTCTGTGCGGTCCCCTGTGTATGCGGCTCAGGTTGGATTTTGAAGGGCTGGAGATTGGCGAGGACTTTTCGCTGGACAAGGCTAAGTCCTGGAGCAGGTCCATTGAGGATCTGCACCAGAATGGCTGCAATACGCTGGTGCGCTCTGCGCGGCAATCCGTCCTCCGGTATGTACTGGCCTGCTTGTGCTTGCTACGCTCTGCCTCGCTTTAAAACGACTGTATGTTCGCTTATGTGATAACTTGCATTGGTTTGGTTCAGGCTGCTGGTAATAGTTAATGTAGTTTGGAGACTGTTAAGTTTTTTATTATTATTATTTTTTTTTATTTTTTTTAAAGAAATTTGAAGAACTGGCACTTTCCAAGAACAGGGTAAAAAAAGAGCCTCAAAGTCCTAAAAAATAACCATATAAATAAAGCCAACCCAAATATTTGAAATGCAAATTTCTAAGGCCTCTAAATTATCACCATGATCAAAACTCAATCTACTTCATGCCTTCTGTCATGTGATTAATAATTTATACTTTTTTAGCAAGTAAAAAGGACTTTTAGTATCATTTAAAAAAAACTCCATCTCCAGGTCATGGTATATGTGTTTTTGTTGTGAAATATTTACTGATTTCTATAAAGTAAACATAAGAATTTTTTTTATTAGGAGATATAGAGTGATAACTGATATTTATATGGATCTTGAGTAGTCTGCTATACTGTTTTAAAGATCTTATTGATTTACATTACAAGCTATCAGAATTTCTACATTTTGGTCATTAATTTCAGCAACTGGCCCTATTTGCATATTTTTGCTCAGTTTGGACCTCTGAATAAAACTGAGGTGTCCCCCCCCCCCCCCCCCCCCCCTCCCCCTCCTTAAGAATGAGCTCCAAATTCTATCCTATATAATTTTGAGCCATAAAGGCCTGATGTATCAAATATGATTTTTTTAATACAACCATTTTAATACAGGATTTTAATACAACAATTTAATGTGTTTTAAACTATCTACTCATCCTAGGTTAATTTTATGCTGGATAATTACTATAATAAATATTATAGTTTTCACATAAAAAATGTTTAGCCTCTTTTTGCATTGTTTCATGAGTAATTCAACCCTATTTGAGGAAAGTGTCAACTATTGTTATTGGCTTGTCAGTTAGCTTCCTGTCTCACTTCACTGGTTATAAGAGTGCTCATGCCATGATAGGAACATTAGTGCTTTGCACCGAAGCTAGGAGTCACATGCGTGCATTATTTTGCCCACTGAGCCAAAGCCACACTTCCTGAGGGTAGACAACTCACACGAATGAAAGTATTTCTTTATGTGGCGTGTATGATTGATTGTTTGTGTGTGTTCTGTCAAATCAAACACTGCACTTGTGAACTACTAACTTTGTCCTTTTATTACAGCTATGGCTCAACTTCCAACAGCAAAACCATCAAGAACTCCAGATTAGTCAGTCAAAAGGATGATGTACACGTGTGCATCATGTGCCTCAGAGCAATCATGAACTATCAGGTACAGGATGCACAGACCTGATTGGTCACAAAAACCTCAGGGATGTCTGCCCATTCTGAAACTGCTTCTTAAAGTAGTATGAAACCTTATCAAACACAAGAACTAATCCAGATTGTTTTTCATATCAGTGTCTGTCCAATTTACAAACCCAGCACAACATTTTTATTCAATAACCATTGCATGGGGGTAAATGTTTTTTTTTATACTCAAACCACATTGCTTTTTCCTTTCTCACCCTAGTATGGCTTCAACCTTGTCATGTCTCACGCGCATGCGGTCAACGAAATTGCCCTGAGTTTGAACAATAAGAACTCCAGGTAAGAATTAAGGTATTGTTTAACAGTTTTGAGGGACATTTACACAGAACATGTTTTTATGTTTAAAAAAACGAGTATCAGGGCAATGAAATGGGGAAAAAAGCAAGGTCTAGAGACACATTGTTTTACTATTAACTTGAGTGCCTCTTTTTTAGAAAGTAGTGTCAGAGCGCATAAGTCAGTCTCGTCCGTGTTTACATAAGAAACAACGGAAAAGCAGCGCAGTGGAATGGAAAAAAGCATTCTGTGTGAACAGTCACTTAATATGTCAGGTTTTCACTGTGAATTATAAGATGACTTGATATTTTTCACCTCCAGAATCTGTATATTTAGGAGTATTTCACTGTAAAATTACATAAAATGTTTCATTAGATTTATTCTACTTTTTCGTTGTATAGAATATGGGATACCTTAAACCAATTGACAGGTTTTTTTACCATAACATTTTTAGTCTTTTACCTGTAATTTAAAATGATGATACATTTTTTACAGTGTAGATAACTAACAGAGGAGCCTGTTAAATGCAATACTTTCAGTGGCCTTTAGTTTTCATAAGGCTGTGAAATTGGAGATTAGAGTTGTGCATTTGTTTGGTAAGAATGAACTCTTTAGAGCAGATTACTGTCATTCTGACTAATTGCATTTGTAGTGAAAGCTTAGATCATTTCAGACTGAAGCATGGAAAAACCCCAGCCTTTCTTACATCTTGAACAGCATCATTCCTTGAGCTCAATGAATCAGTGCACTAATCTATCACTCAATCACAGCTGTAAAGGTTTTCTTGGATTGTGTCATTTCAAAACATCTCTGAAAAATGTACCCCACCTACAATTACTGATACTCAACATCAGACCTGACCCCTATGAGAGGCTCAAGATGAAAGTGCGATATCACATTTCTGATTTTGAAAATTGTATAACAATGGACACAAAGCTGCTGTTCTCCCTGAAGGATAGATCTAAGCAGGTGTGGGTGGGTGATGATCTGTCAAGTTGGTAATGTTACCCGTCTTATTGTGCAAGTCCTGCTCTGCCACTCTAGGCCAGTTGAATGCTCACAGAAGCTTTTGTTCTGCTTTTAGAACAAAGGCGCTGGTCCTGGAGCTGCTGGCTGCTGTATGTTTGGTGCGAGGTGGTCATGAAATCATCCTCTCAGCGTTTGATAACTTCAAAGAGGTAGATCCTGGGATATATACACCTGCATGTGTATTACGATAACCACAGATGCTGTATTAAATGTTACAACAATGTGTTTTGTTTAGTGTGTGCACATACAAAGCCAATTAGCTGGCAATACCTTTTTTGCTTCCCAAATGCATTTGTGGGAAAACACCACATTTTAAGCCAGTCGTTTCATTAAACCCACATCTTTGATAAAGATCTGTGTTTTGGGGGGAGTGAATTGCCTGCAGACTCAACCGTTCACTCAACCTCTCAGTTTTGTTTGCCTAGTCATTTAAATACCGGAAATGGGCCAATTACCCCGTAACTGTCCAACTCTATCCTGAGAAAGTAGGAGAGCTAATCAACACAGCAGTTACAACAATGTTGTGAGAGAGACTGAAATAATATGCTGCCTGCAGACTGGCAGAACTAGTCTTCAAAGATTCTGTGGTTGAACTAACTTTGAATTTAGACTAATGAATTAAACGTTCCACATTTAATTCAGCAGGGCATTATTGACCTAAGCAAGAAGCTGATTGAAGTATTTTAAATATTACGTAGTATTGCAGCATATTCTGCAAGTTTCCATTTTTCTATGGTGAAACATGAGGCCTAACGTTGCTCCTTTTGATCCCCCTCTTTTTCCATAAAGTCTATAAAGAAGTCTGACTTTTTCCTGATTTGAATTCTCCATCTCATCTTCCCTGAACCCCATAACCTCATACCCTGCTGTTTTGAGAAATAGAAAACTCAATAATTTGTTCTGTTATGTTTGTTCTTCTCAAAGTCTTCTAAGTAGGATGTTTATTTGTGAGGATATTGTTGTAACTATCACACTTCATATTTAACACTTGAAATATCTGACTGTACTCGGGGGTTACTGTGTTTCACTGATTGTCTAAATAAAAATATCTGCAGGTTTGTAAGGAGAAGCACCGCTTTGAAAAGCTGATGGAGTATTTCCGTAGTGAAGATGGGAACATTGACTTCATGGTAGGTGCATGAAAGCACTTGGGTATTTTTGTACCTGTTTGTTTGTGCGAGATATGAATGTGTTTGTGTCTCAGGTGGCCTGTATGCAGTTCATCAATATTGTGGTCCATTCGGTGGAGGACATGAACTTCCGTGTACATCTGCAGTATGAGTTCACTAAGCTGGGGCTTGATGACTTCCTGGAGGTATTTAGTCAATGTTCAAAATACTCTAAAATTATGCAGTGTTTAAATGGGCAAGTCAAATGTTCAGTGTGTAGATGCCTTTTTTATTTGAAATACTATTAAATAATTAAGTCAAACAGAATATATTCTTAAACTCTAAAGAGTAACCACATGATAAAACATTATGAAATCCCCTGTGTTTCCTCGCAGAAATCCAAGCACACAGAGAGTGATAAGTTGTCGGTGCAGATCCAGGCTTATCTGGATAACGTGTTTGATGTCGGAGGTTTGTTGGAAGACGCTGAAACAAAGAATGTGGCCCTGGAGAAAGTGGATGAGCTGGAAGAGCATTTGTCACATGTAAGAACCATTAGATACTCCCTTTCCTTCCATTGCTAAATGTTATTATTATTATTAAAAAAAAATGTGTAGAACGGTAATATAATACCAATTACCAGTAGAAATTTCATGTGATGGAGAATCTTTAGAACCAGAAAAAACTAAATTTATCAACTAAAATGAGAAAATCATCATGGGTTACATTAAAAATTATGCAGAGCAGATTATATTATAAAAAATAAAACTATTTAATAATGATTTATTCATTGATAATGTTGCAATATACATGACTTTGAAAATAAATTAACTAAATTGATCAAATCTCTCTATCTATCTTATCTATCCTATCTATCTATCTATCTATCTATCTATCTATCTATCTATCTATCTATCTATCTATCGTATCTATCTATCGTATCTATCTATCGTATCTATCTATCGTATCTATATCAAAACTGTAGCAGTAAATTTTGTGTTCAGTTGGTCATGTTGTCACTTCTAATATCTTATTGACTTCTTCACCCTTATCAGAGTTCACTGAGTTCAGGGAATTCAGAGTTATTCCCTATCATTCACCACCACAACATAAAGCAGCACGCACAGCTTAATCATTCACTTTTGGTGCAGAGGGATCTTAAAATATAATTTATAATCTGACTTGTAGACTGATTGGGCTTAAAAGTGCTTAGTTAACTTTAGCACATACTGGCCTGTAAATCGGAGTATGCAGACAGTGTGAAAACAAACCTCAGATTGTTCCTCTGATCTCGACTCAGTAGTGGGCCTTTCTGCTGGACTATGTTATGCTCATGGCAAAGGTCATGAAATGAACAGAGAATCACACAACAATCCTTTTGCTCTCGCTGGGGGTGGAGGACAGAATTCCCCAAATATTCCACTATGTGTGTAATCTCCACTGCTTCAAAAGTGAAAGTGATGCTGCCTCATCTGCTGTGTCATACTGCTGGAAAGATTTTCTTTATTGATCCGTAAGAGAGTGAGAGACAGAAGAAAGCTTAAAAGGGTACGGGATAGATGTTTATAGCATCAATGCTCTGAACTGCCTCTCTCCTCTCATTTTTGTTCCGCCACCTCTCACGCTGTCATGTTTGCTCCCTTTCTTTTTGTTCTAGGTGACAGAGAAGCTTCTAGATGTTGAAAATGAGACCATGATGAAGGTAGCAGACCTGGAGAAACAGCTGTTACACAAAGACAAGGAACTGTCAGCCATAAAGGTAGGCCACGATCACTCGCTCTCAAACACTTATATCACCTTCACTCATGAGCTTGACATGCAAATAGCTCATATAATTATTTATTTATACATAGAAGTATAACATATAACATGAATAAGTTATAGGAATGATGATGACAAATTTAATCAAGAATATCTCATTAGTAAGGACTGATTATTAATCATTTGTAGCTTTTGCATGGTCTGGTTACTAGATGTATAAATGTTTAATAACATACCATGTTTTAATGTAAAATAGTTTTTTTGGACATTTGCCATGGTACAACCAAGCTTTTTATATGTTGGTATGCTGATTTGTTGCTCAAGAAACATTTCTTATTATTATCAGTGTTGAAAACATTGCTATTTCATATTTTTGTTGAAACTTTTTTTCTAGTTAAAAAATCTTACTGACCCCAAACTTTTGAATGGTAGTGTATGTATTATGACAAATGTATCATTATCGATAAAAAAAGTTTAAGAGCATCATAATTAGAATATTTTCTTATATCACTTATATCAATCATTTATTTCATAGTTACTTATGATGTCATGTAAATTGAATGTCTTGTAAATTCTCTGTAAAATCCTTTCTAAAATTTTTCCTTTTTTGGAAAGTCATAAAAATGCTGTTTCATGGATAGTATTTGTTGTAGTTTCAGTTCTTCACTACAGAAGTTTACTCAACTATAACAACGTTCGCTTCTGAGAACTCCGAAAATGTTAAAAAGGGTCCATGTTTATATATCAAAATATACTATCACATACAGTATCATCCAAAAAGGTTTTTATGACTCACTTTGAGTCAGAACCAAACAGAATTTGCATGAACAGAACCATATTTAGTACTCAAAACAGGACTGACAACCATCTATCCACCATAGTATTTTTTGGGGGGTATTTACATATGTTGTATGTACCCCAACATCCTTAACTCTTGACTGCTCTTCCTTCCTTCCCATGGTTATCCAGGAGACGTATGAGTCCGCCAGCACACAGGTGCACACACTGCGGCGGATGATCCAGGAGAAGGATGCTGCCTTCCAGAGGCACAACAACATCGAGAAGCGGCTGCTGGAAATGGAGCAGCAGGGCACCATCCGATTACGCAAGCAGCCTGATGGGGACATTGCCATCGAGGCTCTGGGTGGTGGAGGAGCAGCTGGAGCTCCTCTGAGAGACCTGAACTCACTTACTGCAAGCATGAGTGGGACTGGAGGTCCGGGTGTCACTTCAATCGCTCCCATTGAAGCTGTTGCTCCACCCCCACCGCCACCACCTCCACCGGCCCCACCGCTCCCTTCAGAAGGTACTCAGATAATAGCCAGGAAAAACAATAGGGTGAATGTGTGTTTTGCATATGAAATTCACTTTATCATGTCACATATATTCATTATGCAATAAGCTATCAAATATCTTCATGGGGGTGCTCTTGGAGACTCAAAGCAGATTTTATGTGACAAAAGATACTTACATTTGTATGCATGACAATCTCTGCAATTTTACCCTTCTATATTTGAATTTGCAGTATAAACCTTCCATAAGAGGGATAGAGAGGGAGATTTGATCAAAAATATAGTAAAAACAGTAATATTTATTTGAAATAGCAGCATTTATTTGAAATAGAAATCGTTTGTAATATTATAAATGTTTTAATTACTGTCACTTACGATCAATTTAATTAATCCTTGCTGAATAAAAGTAATTAAAAAACATCTTGCTTAATGGCAGTGTATATATATATATATATATATAAAATAACATAACATAAAAGGAATCATTTGATTTTAGGGATTACAGGGAAAATATTTGATTTGGCACCAGCGCAAGCCCACTGTCAATGGAAAGCTGGTATGTAGGGATTCCCTTGAAGCTCCAGATTATGGAGACTTTATTAGAGTTATTGTAGAGTAAGATAAACAGAAAAACAAGGCAAAGCTGTGCACGCTGTTTCCCTCTGAGCTACAGACCTTCAAATGTACAAGTCGTTGCACGCTTAGCAGGAAAAGGAAAAGCTAAGGGTGTTTCCTTTAGCTAAGGAGCGGTTTCTGCTGAGGAAGCAGCTGGACTGGAACTAACTAAATATCCATTACGTTTCTGACTGTTTAGGAACCGTTTTTAAGAGTAAAACTGAAAATAAACATGCTAATTTATAAAATCTCTCTTGTTTTATAGTCGAGTGTGTTCCTATTCCTCCTCCACCTCCTCCACCTCTGCCCGGATCATCCCCATCAGTCATCCTTAGTGTTGGCTTATCGGGTAATACATAATTAAAAATAGTACTAAGAAAACTGTATTACAGTATCTTGGCTCCAATTTGTTGACAAAAAAAGATTAAAGTGAGTGACAAATCACTCTCATGATCTTGTCATACACAACTATATACATACATATATATTCTAAGTTAGTTAAGGTATTGTACGACCCTTATGTTTTTTCATCTCTCATAGCCATACGCATCAAGAAACCCATAAAAACCAAGTTCCGCCTTCCTGTCTTCAACTGGGCTGCACTGAAACCCAACCAGATCAATGGCACCGTCTTCAACGAGATCGATGATGAGCGTGTGCTTGAGGTAATATTGAGCGTGAATCAGATGTGCACATATTTTAAGTGTGTTCCTTGAAACTCTCCACTCATCCTAAGGGCTTTTGTTCTGTCATGTAGGAGTTAGATCTGGAGAAGTTTGAGGAGCTGTTCAAGACTAAAGCCCAGGGTCCTGTGGTGGATCTGTCATGCTCAAAGAGCAAGGTTTCCCAGAAGGCCATTAATAAAGTGCAGCTACTTGATGCCAATCGCTCGAAGAACTTGGCCATCACTCTGCGCAAGGCCAACAAGACCACAGAGGAGATCTGCAAAGCCATTCAAACGTACGCACATACTCAAGATTTTCGTCATATTGTGTCTTCATCTTCTCAATAATCTCATCTGAGATGAATATGATGCAATTTCCATGTTGCAGGTTTGATCTGAAGGCCCTGCCGGTGGACTTTGTGGAATGCCTGATGCGGTTCCTGCCCACGGATGCTGAGAGCAAACTAATGCGTCAGTACGAGCGGGAGAGGAGACCTCTGGACCAGCTTGCAGAGGAAGACCGCTTCATGCTCTTCTTCAGCAAGATTGAGCGGCTCACTCAGAGAATGAGCATAATCACGTTTGTGGGCAACTTCAGTGATAATGTCAACATGCTGACCCCGGTGAGCAACTATGATGGTCAACAAATGGAAAGCTGGGAATTTTTTTTTATGTTTATAATTATTTTTTTTAGCAACATCCTTGTTGTTAGTGGAACAACATTTGATTTCAGTATTTACATTTTAGGCGTAGCCATAGGCGTAGACTTATCGACCTGTCATTACTCTCTGATTTTAGAGTTGTTAGGCTTGTGGTAAAGTATGTTTGTTTGACCATTTTATTCCTGGACCAACAAAAGATGTTTATATAGAAACACGTTCTTGCCAATATCATGGTCACCTTGATCAAATCATGAATCTCTTTAACTCTTTGACATCCACAGCAACTCAATGCCATCATCGCGGCATCAGCTTCAGTGAAGTCCTCTCCAAAGTTAAAGAAGATTCTTGAAGTAAATATCTACTTGTCTTCATTATAAAGGCTCAAGATCATCTGAAATTTGTCTAGCGTTATCCTTAACTTTCTGTTTTTTTTATCTGTCTCCACACAGATAATTCTGGCTGTGGGCAACTACATGAACAGTAGTAAAAGAGGCTCGGTGTATGGTTTCAAACTTCAGAGTCTGGATCTGGTGAGCTTGGTTGTAGAGGTGGCTTTCTACATGATGGTGTAGTTAAATCACAGTGCTGTTCTCACTCATGCTGTTGTTGTTCTCTCTCAGCTGCTAGATACTAAGTCTACTGACAGGAAGATGACACTGCTCCACTACATTGCTCTGGTCGTCAAAGAGAAATATCCTGAACTGGCTACCTTCTACAATGAACTGCACTTTGTGGATAAAGCTGCAGCAGGTCTGTGTTCTACAGGGTTGTAATTTGAGTTGAATTGACCATGTCCCTTAGGACGTTGAATTGTAATTTAAATTAGAAATACAAAAAGTGGAATTGCACAGAATGGCAATTCAAAGAAAGTTACTCAACAGAGGAAATTAATTATTGCTTTGTGTTTGGGGTAAATTAGAGCATTGAGTCAAATCAATTATTTATGAATTTATTAAATATAGTGAAAAATACAGTATTTTTTTTTTTTTTTTGAAAGAAGTCTCAGATCATTCATTTGATCAAAATACAGTAAACCAGTAATATTGTGAAATAATATTACAATTTATAATAACTGTTTTACATTATTTTGATACATTTATACTGCTGAATAAATGTGTTAATTTTTCTTTTTAAAAAAAGTCTTACTGACCCTAAACTTTTGAATTGTAGTGGAAGAATACATTTTCCAATAAGGTTTAATTCATTAAAGTTATTTAATGCATTTAAACATTTTTTAATAGAATTTTATTCATCTACAATTGTAAATGTATAAATATATTATTGTTCATTGTTACTTCCTGTTCATTCATAACACAGTTATAATGAATAATTTATGCAACCTGAAATATTAAAAATGTCATTAGTATATGCAGGCATTAACAGTAACCTAAACCAGTAACCTGTCAGTTAATGATACCTAAAGCATTAACTAATGTTAACAAATTAATATTTATTGTGAAGTGACACCTACATTTCTATAGGTACCATTTTAAACAATAAGTACAAATGCTATGTAATGTTTATGGAAATACCTTTAAGTTGTGTGTATGATTATCTTAATGGGTGATTCACACTGAAAAAGTAACTGGAAAATCTACTGTACAGCAATTATATGAATTTCTTTGGATTTGTTTCCATTTTAACTGTAACTACGTTCATTTCAAATCTTCGGTGACAGTGTCCCTGGAGAACGTGTTGTTGGATGTTAAGGAGCTCGGTAAGGGCATGGATCTGGTCAGGAGAGAGTGCAGTCTGCACGACCACGCCATACTCAAGAGCTTCCACCAGACCAGCGATACACAGCTGGACAAACTACAGAAAGACGCCAAGACTGCTGAGGTGTCCTTTCTGTCTTTTAGAAAACACTTTCTGGCAATTAAACAGTACCAGATTATTTCAATCTCACATTGTATCCACTTACAGGAGGCCTTCAACAATGTGGTGCATTACTTTGGGGAAAGTCCTAAGACCACGCCGCCCTCTGTCTTCTTCCCAGTGTTTGTACGGTTCATCAGAGCCTACAAGGTAATCCATTCAGTTCACTCAGCCGTTCTAGGCACAGCACACTAACAGATAATGAATCTTCATATTTTGACAAGAAGGAAACACATTTGTGGCTCTGCATAGTCATCAGGTCAGGAAGAGACTTTTAATTTCTAAGCCTCAGGGGGGAAGGTGAACCCGACCTGCTTTCAAGTCATTGAGGACAGGAAGGAATAGTCCACATGATCTGCTACCTGGCGTGTTTAGTAAACATGAAGTGGTGAAAGATCTGGCCTGCTAATTGAAAGGTTGAAGGTTGAAACCCTGAATGGACACACACTTTCTATGTGTGTTTATATCCTTTGGCCATCCTAGTTTGAGTGTCTTCCCTGTTGAGGCGTCAGTGTCAGAGCGCTGGGGTGGAGTAGCAGACGTTAGCAGAGGGTGAATAACAGGAAGGGGCAGCTGGGCTGAGATTTAAGGGCAGCTGCTCTGTTTAGACTGGGTTTTGCCTTCACCGCCTTTAACCCGGACACACACGCATACACACACCTCTTCCTCACATTGTTCTGCTGGTGGATTTATGAGTCTACATGAGGAACCGCAAAAAGCTCCAAGATCTCTGTGTGTTTGTGTGCGTCCATATTCATATCCCTTCTCAGAGGTTGCTGTGATTGCACAAAACACAGGCCACGACCTCACATCTAAACAGTGTCAGGGCCCGGATCACACTCACATCCCTACCTATCATAACTTATCTCTCTAAGTTGCAAACTGTTGTTTTCTGCAGGAGGCTATGGAGGAAAACGAACAGAAGAAGAAGCAAGAGGAAGCCATGAGAGAAAAACTACTAGCACAGGAGGCCAAACAGCAAGACCCTAAGGTGAAATCTGAACCCGTGAAAAATAACTAAAATACCCCCGCCCTTAATTGTTTATCATACTAGAATTTAAAAGATTGGTAACATTTTACAATAGGTTCCATTTGTTAACATTATTTGAAGCCCCCCTGTGACTCTACACCCTCGCTTCATTTAGTATACACGGATTCAGGATTATGCAAATTAGCCCCGCCTCCACTCACTCACACCAGCTCAGAGACCCACTCGGTCAACTCATATACAAGTCGATTTATCAGAATGGTAATGCATTTTACGTATCGCTCTCTACAACGTCGGATACAATGGTATCCTTTTGCTTGACTACTTTATCAAACATCTAATAATGTGTTGCTAATCTTACACAAAGCATGTTCCCGGTCGCCATCTCAGAGTCAGACAGCTATCTTCTAACAATCAGCATCCTTAGAAAGGCTTTGAACTAACTTAGAACTTAAGCGGAGAAAGGCATTTAGTTTATCATAACATCATAATATACATCACATACATAATTCACCTGCTATATTGCTAAATGTACCTGATTTTTCATATCAACAGAAAAATATACCAGGATAACCTGGCTTCTCTCGAGACCGCAGTTAAGGATATGCTAAAGCTTGTCCCCGACGTCGAGATTGGTTACATGGTAGTTTGTGACTTCAGAAACACTAGTGATTTCAGCATTCTTTTTTCACTGCAGTTTTAAAGAGAAAATACTCGGCAATGGTGTTGACTTATAACAATGAACAGTTGTATTTTTAACAACTAACGATAACAAAGATTAATAATTACTGTAACAAAGGTATTGCTCGTGGTTAGTTAATGCATTAACTATCAGGACCTTATTTTAAAGTGTTACCAATAAGTTATTATGCAATTGGTTAATGGTGCTACTGGTTTTTGTTACAAAATAAATAAAAAAATATATAAAAAAACCCTTGAATTTGCCCCTGATTCTTTTAAACATTTAAAAATGAGTGGAATGAGTGGTGAATATATTTCTTGTTTCCTCAATGCAGGTCCAGGCTCAAAAGAAGCGACTGCAGCAGCAGGATTTGATCGCAGAGCTCCGGCGCAGACAGGCCAAGGACCACCGGCCTGTATATGAGGGCAAAGATGGCACCATTGAAGACATTATCACAGGTGGGCTAGGCAGGACTGCAGTACCCATCAGCCAGGGGTCCAGAATCACTGTGGTGGTCCACTGCTCTCCGCATCAGCAATGTACTCTCTGTTATGTTAAACAACAGCCCTTACAGCTCGATCAGCACACTTTACAAGTGCACATCAGTTAAAAACAATGAAATTTGAATCAACTCTCAGGGATCTTCAGAGTTAATTATATGGTGTATTAACTAAGCTCTTCTCTTTCTAAAGTATGGAAATAAATCATAGAGGATGCCTATACGAGATATTGCAGAAACTGTCCAGGAAGAGATAACACCCTTAAATTCATTGTTAAAAAAAAAAAAAAAAAGATTAATTATCTATTATTAACACAATGTTCTCAGACAAGGCTATTTATGTAATTATGAACCACATACTTTTTTTTTTTTTTGGCAAACACTTTTGTGAGGCTTTTTGATGCTACAATTCTAAAACAAACAACAACAGAAAAAAATGGATCTTTGCAGGTTGTGGACTTAAGTTAAAATTCTAAAATTGCTACTTTAACATTTCATAAACAATGCTTCAGACTTATGAAGCCATAGATATTATTGATAGAATGAAGAATAGTCACTTTTTCCTCTCATGTCACTGGAATTTATTTGATAAAAAATACAGTAAAACAGTAATTTTGTGAAATATTCAACTTTTTCTATATTTTAAAATGTAATTTATTCCTGTGATGGCAAAGCTGTGCCTTCAGTGTCACATAATCCTTCAAAAATCATTCTAATATGCTGATTTGCTGCTCAAGAAATATGTCTTATTATTATTATCAGTGTTTTTTAAAATACGTAATATTTTTATGGAAAGTGTGATACCTTTTTCAGAATTTTTTGATAAACCAAATGTTGAAAAGAACAGACTATTTGAAATAGAATTTTTTTTACTGCCATTTTTTGATACATTTTATGCATCCTTGCTAAATAAGTGTACATTTCTTGAGGAAAAAAACCTTACTGATCCCTGTAGAAGATTTCATGATGTCTTGTGTGCTTGATCATACAAGACCAAATATACAACCAAACGGCGGCAAGCAAAGAGACATTCATTGATAGACAAACATAATTTTTGGCCTGTCATAAGTTGAAATAAGTTTGCTATGGCTGTTAAATAAGATTGAGAATATCTTGCACAGAAAAAGCCAGGAAGTTGCAAAGATCAAAACGAATGGTTTCTTTTCTCAGAACACATGGTCCTTCTTAAGCTCAGATATAAGGTTCTGTCTCTGACCTCCTTCCCTCCCTCCCTCAGTGCTGAAGAGTGTGCCCTTCACTGCCCGCACGGCCAAACGGGGCTCGCGCTTCTTCTGCGATACCAACCTCTTCGATGAGTCCATCTGCTAGCCCCCCAAACCCCCCCCAAAAAACTGCCCCTAATGCCGCAGGTTGTCCCGTTCTCTTACCAGTTGCAAAGTGCATGCATACCCCCACCACTCGCATGACCCACTCTGTCACTCTGGTTACCCAGCATCCTCTACTAACCCAAGCACAACAGAATAGTGGGAAACACAAGCTGTAGCTGTTCACAGATCTGAAACAGGGAAAGGCCAAATCTTTCTTAAGGGAATTATGACAAATTAGCTGAAAATGCATTAGTATATAATATAAAATGCTGATTTGAACTAATATTAATGTTCAGGCTGTTAAAAGAATGTTCTTACCATAGGTCTTTTTATTTGTCATATTGTCCAGAGAGATTTGGCCTGTGTAACAGTCCTTGTTATGTTTCACTTGGTTTGTTATCTGCTAACTCTCATCTTCTCCCCCATAACTGTGTGTTCTACCTTTCCAGCAGAACAGGGGATTAATCTGAGTAAATTTGAGCACAAAATAATTGGAGGGTAAGAAAGGCATCATGGAGCTTTATCTCGCTTTGCTCCTGTCTGCCTTTTTACCGTCAGCTCAATTGCTTTAGCTGTGCTACATTTTGCACAATGCTACAGCGCTGAAGCTTATGTGGCCAAATGTAGTCTTGTACTGAATATTGATTTTTTTTTGCATTGCTAATTATATAGTTTATGATACTTCACTGTGTGAAAGCAATATAAGATATTTAGCCTTAAACTGTGGCCTTATTTGGCTGTTTTTATAGCACAGAACAAAGTACCACATGATGGTGGTGATAGTTTGTAAATATCTAAAATTATTACAAACTAAACTTTGGATGGCACAAAACTAAATATTATTTTACTAGTATAATTGTAGCTTTTCCACAGTATTTTCTTAGATCCAGGAATGAAATCTTTTTCTTGTCATGTCTGTTGCATGTAAAGCTGTTTGTCTGCTGTATCTTTGCATTGTGCCGTTTAGCTAACATGTTTACGTATGTCCTCTGCTGTATATCGTCACATGCATGCAAATCTGTGTTCTGTTCAGCAAGATCTACAGTACATGTAATGGTCATTTAGTGGTATAGTGTTTCATTATGTACAGAAATGCTATAGTATCTTTCAAGACCTTGCTGAACACTGAATCCATCAGTTCAAACGTATTTGTAATGTGCTAAATGGTCTTACTGCAGTGATCATATTTTGTTGTCTTTGTTAGTGTTTTACATTGTATGCTTTATACTACAAGCATTTTTTTTTTGAGATTAATTTTAACTGCATATTTTAATACTTTAAAGTGTTAGTTCACCTAAAAATGAAAATTCTGTCATCATTTTCTCACCCTCATGTCGTTCCAAACCCGTAAGACTTCATCTTACGGACCAAAACCTTTGAACGCTAGTGTGCAACAAATTTAGACATGACCAATTGCTTTCAGGCTCCAAAACGATTATATTCGATACACTCAAAAAAATGATATGTTGGCTTTACTTAACTTTTTTTTGTAAACAGGTTCCACCGGTTCCACATAACTATGTTTCGTTAAACAAACATAATATGTTCATGTAACTTCAACATCATGGAATTTGGTCATTTTAAGCGACCCAATTAAACTCTGAGCTAATGAGTTAATTAAGTGAATAATTGAGTGATGATTGAGCATTATTGAAGACACCTGATGTTAACAAGCAGAATCTCTGAAGGAGAAAACCGGAATGTTTAAGTCACCATTATGGAGATAAGTATTTGTTTTAGTTGGGCTCTTGACCATTCACTTATTAACTTTAGATTTTGTTTGGTTGCTGTACATGAGTTATAACAGCCGGATGAACAATAAACAAAGGTCATCTGATGGTATTTGTTGTGTTTTAACATAATAATTATTTCACAATCATTTGACCTGAGTCACTGAACTTATATTAAACTGAATTTCTGAGTTAAGTTTACCTTATGGATAATAACAGCACTGTCATTGTAGAGCATACTATTTTATTGACTTTTCAATGAAATTCAAATGATCAAATCAATAAATAAAAAAGAAACTTCCTAAAAAATCTCTTCAGTAGACACACACAGACATCAAGACTCAGCCTGTAAATCTCACCAATGGTGACAATTATAAAGCATGTTGTAGTGCATTCTGGGTGCCACCAATCAAAACTCATTCATGGCTCCCATCATGCATTGCTGCATGAATAAATAATGAGCTTATGATCTGTTTGTCACCATTGCTGAGATTCATATGCTGATTCTTGATGTCTGTGTGTGCCTACTCAAAATATTTTTTAGGAAGTTTCTTTTTTATTTCTTGATTTGGTCATTTGAATTTCATTGAAAAATCTAAAAATAGTATTCTCTACAATGACAGTGCTGCTATTATCCATAAGGTAAACTTAACTCAGAAATTCGGTTTAATATAAGTTCAGTGACTCAGGTCAAATGATTGTGAAATAATTATTATGTTAAAACACAACAAATACCATCAGATGACCTTTGTTTATTGTTCATCCGGCTGTTATAACTCATGTACAACAACCAAACAAAATCTAAAGTTAATAAGTTAATGGTCAAGAGCCCAACTAAAACGAATACTTATCTCCATAATGGTGACTTAAACATTCCGGTTTTCTCCTTCAGAGATTCTGCTTGTTAACATCAGGTGTCTTCAATAATGCTCAATCATCACTCAATTATTCACTTAATTAACTCATTAGCTCAGAGTTTAATTGGGTCGCTTAAAATGACCAAATTCCATGATGTTGAAGTTACATGAACATATTATGTTTGTTTAACGAAACATAGTTATGTGGAACCGGTGGAACCTGTTTACAAAAAAAAGTTAAGTAAAGCCAACATATCATTTTTTTGAGTGTAGTTTTGTATACGTTTTTTGTCCTTTTTGGAGCTTGAAAGCTGCCGGTCACTGCTGCTTTCGTTGTAAGTAAGGACACAAACAGTGTCAACATTATGTTGAATATCTCCTTTCACAGATAAACAACCTGAGGATGGGTAAATGACAGCATCACATTTTTGGGTAAACTTTAAGATCTGGGAACGCAAGAGCAAAAAAAAATCAAGCAATGACAGCATAATTATTATTTTGCAGCCAACTGAGGTGCTAAGAATGACCCCTGCTACCCTGAGTGTTCCCTGATCTAACTCTAACTCTCTCCCTCCCCACTCACAGATCTCCGAAGCCAGCCCTTCCTGCGAGCTGACGCGGTGATCCGGAATGGGTGGAAGCGACCCTAAAGACCCCTCACTCACTCACCCTCTGCTACTCTCCCCCCGCTTTCTGAAATGGCATCTTCCTGCAATTCACGGTGACTGAGGGAAGTGCAGGACCAAAACAATGTCTTTGGTTTTAAGGGGGTGGGGAAGTTATTTATTTATGGAAATCCTTTTTGGATTCTGCACTGGAGGCTCTTTCAATAAAGCCATTACAGCACAGACATTCAGGGCTGCCACCCTGGCCTCATGAACGCTCGCGCACGCAAATCCTGAGGTGCGTTGGTAAAAGCTTGTGTTGGCACAGGAATAATGGTTGTTGTGGTTGCACACACACACAGATAGCAGTAACACTAGCCTGCTGACCTTGAAGAGCCTTCCAACGGGATCTCAGGCCCATTAACGTGGATTTCCTCTTATTGTGCAATTTAAGCATGACTTTCTGTCTAGTGGGATAGCGCTGAGGTCACTGACTCCGTTTGTACAGTTCTTTAAAGTATGAACAAATTATTTGTTAATCCTATTCCACTACCTGGCACAGAATAGCCTGTCTCCAGTATTTTAACCCAGACCAGTACTATGGTTACAAAGAAGTGCCTTTCTGTTGAGTCAGTATTATTTCTTATAGCCAATATTGATGTATCTAAGTTTATACTATTGTTAATCGTTATGTTGTAACATTTCTTATGCTTAATGTAAATATAATATGCAATTATCCAAGAAATGCATTGCAGCGTTAACAAAAGAGCCTGGACAAGTGCTCTGTTTGACTGACTTTGTGCCTTGTATTGATGGCTCTATCTTCACTTGGTTCTTTAAATCTGTTTAATGCTCATGTACCAGAACAAAGTGTAGGCCTACGTAACTTTGTCATGCCGTGAAACTTCTCAGAGAATAGCGCTCTGGTCCATTTTTTACCCCCCAGATTTATGATGTATATAAATGAATTTTACTCTGTTTTTAAAAGGATACCAAATGGGAACCACTCCTAGATTGTAAACATGACTATATAATATTTTGAATGCGCAATTTGTACGTAATTCGCTCTAAGTTAGTAAATGAAGGACAGTCGTCATGCTTTGCAGGAATTAATTCATTAGGTTTCAGCAAAAAATAACGTTTTATAAGATGAATTTGTCATATCACTTGTCCTAACAAAGTAATTACTCTCTTTGCACTAACACTGATTAAGCGATTCGGAAAATGAGCTCTATTTAAGCAATAATGTAGCTACGCGAGGCCGCGAATTATTGTGAAACGGCCTCAAGTGCCTATTGCTTTTATTAGATAGAGTCTATAAATGTTAAAGATATTAAACGTTAAGCAAATACATATGTGGTTAAGCGGCGTCTTCGCACTAGAATATGTTCCTGACTGACCGAAAACTTTTGCGCTTCAGTGATTTCAACAGGTGTTTCGCGTCATAGTTGGTGGAACGCTGTTCTGACCAATCATAAGCCAGGACCGGAACTCTCCGTTAAAAAAGGGACATAACAGTACGACACTGCATGTGATGTTGACTCAAGCTCGAGAGTGAACAAAAATAAAATCAACACTAATGTTGTGTGGTATTTTCTAGGAGTTATTTCTTAGACTGAACTTTTTTTATTTACCTACTGTTGTACCACAGCATAAACTAAATCAAGCCATTTGGGAGGAAAAGCAAAGCACAAAATGAATGTACCAAAGTTTTAATGTTATTTGGTTGATATGGACCAATGAATGCAGCAGTTAACTGGATATTCTGTTGAAGTGGCAAATAAAAATATTTGAGACTCGACTTATAACAATGTTGTCAATAAATGTTTGCACGATATACTGCAGGAGCAATACGGTAAAGAGGACAAGTTTCTGCATTTACAGGTTTTCTCAGTAGCTTTGGCACATTTCTCAGATCATAATCGAAATTCTCAAAACTACCTGTTCAATCTTCACATCATTGTGTCACTTGTGCACATCAAAAAAGCAATTTCTTTGAACAAGTTGCATATGCTTTGGTACTTTACTGTACATCCATGCAAATGATTATGTACAATTCTCTGCTGTTTCCTACATTATCAATTGCTTATGTCAGGTTGATCAAAATGTATTATAATGGGTCTCTGTTGAATTGTCTCACCCCCCACAACAGTTAGGTTAGTAGTTCATAGCATAAGTCTTTACATGCAAAATGGTTGAACAAGTTGTCATAATCAAGCATATTTCTATACATTTCCATTAGACTTTTTTTCTAAATCTGTCCTGTTCACATTTGTACTTAGTTTTTTTTTTTTTTTGCTATGCAGCTGTATTTTCCTTTCTGTATTGCAATGACATGGTTTGTCAACAAATCACAGTACAAACAGTAAAAGCGTATGTGAATCTTGTCCAGTCTCTTGCAATCAAACTCCCACATACACTAAGGTGTGTAACCTACAATTTACAATAATTGCCATCAAAACTTTATCCATAGTTTACATCAGAACATCCCTCCAGAGTACACTACTATATTGACAACATGACTAAGCAATTTTACTGTCTTATCCGTAGGCTACACAATGACTTGTCATTCTGATGGCACTGACATGTTCATTTACAGATATTTACTTTTGAGAGATGAACAAAGGATTTTGAGCAAGAGACTGGCTTTTGCAAGTAATCCATGGTTTTGCTATTTGTACGAATTGTTTTGAGAAATGCACTTACCGTTTTACAAACGTCGAGGATGATTCGAGAAATGTACCAAAGCGACTGAGAAAAACTGTAATATTTATTTTCCCACTGTATATTGTAGGTTTGATTTTTGTAGCTATGTTTTAGAGAGTAGTTAAAACATCTGAGATCATATTTTAAAATGACACCAATGACAAATGATCAGCGTGTGTCCCATTTTACCTGTATTGCCCCTTATCATACCTAATTCTAAAACAACAGTAAAGTTTAGATTGATTTGTGACATGGGCTTTTTAGGTAATACATTTTTGTATTACAGGCCCAATATTAGCTTAATTTTGATTAAATCTTGAGACATGACCCTTACAATATATATCAATCAACATGCAATTGTAAAGACTTGACTATCTAAATGGGAAATAAACAACCATGCACTTTGAGGCTTTTTTGTCTATCGTCCTGGAGGACTTTTGAACTCTTGAGAAAAGCTTTTTGTTTTTAAACTGACCACTTGTACCCATTACCAAGCTACAGCAGAGCACCAATCCAGAAACCACTTATTTTTGTTCTGTACACAATTTTATTTCTCAATATGTGTTATTGTCAGTGATTCATGAAGTTCTCTAGCTGGAAACAAAAGAAACAAACATCACGCTGTCTCTCCAAAAGAAGGGCTGAGCCACCATGCATTTCTACTATAAAAAGCAGTTTAATTATTTTGTATATAAAAAACCCCCATAAAAATAAAATGAACCAACAAAACTACAGAAACGGTTGCAGGGTTGTGACACTAGTCATCTGTGACAGTAAAAGGCCACTAAGGGCCGAGCTAAATGACATTTGATCGTAAACAGAGCAGACACTTTACGTTAAGTCCAGATGCTCGGATGAATACTGTTAACATGTATCTGTTGAGCAGACGCTAGTCTTTTCGTGCTGTTGGATCCATGCATTAGCCTATGGCACACGGGTTACCTCCATTAGAAGCAGTGGAGGCTCGGCCGCAAGCGGGGCTAGCCGAGTCTCTCTACGGGTCAGGCAGATGAGAATGATGGAAGAGTAGCAGCAAGGCAGTGAGTTATTACTGGATCCACACGCACCTCACAGGAATGCACTTACACTGAGCATAAAAAGTCCATAAGACACAAAACTAGTGAAGTAAAAGTGACACACAGCTCCCACTGAAGTGGTATGGAACAGTTCTGTCAAAAGCGCACAGACCGAGAGCAGACGACAATCATCTCCTGGCTGTTTCCGGCGTGCTGGAAGACATGGCGTCAGATGAGGCCTGCTCTCCGTGAATCAGTCTCACCCATCCTTTGGACGTACACACCAAGGCCACTGATACCCTGGAAGAGTTCTGGAATGTTCTTACATTTTCCATCTGTTTGGATTCATTCACTCATTCATTCAATCCACGTAGTGACACATTTTGCATCTTTTCATCCATTAAAAAAAACAACAAAAAAAACAAGCTAAAACAAAGACAGTTATATACTGCTATTCATACGGGTGTCTGCTTGTATTCCTGGGTATATTTGTCAAGACACTTTGTTAATTATATATGTAAATATATATAAAATCAATCTGTGCAAGGAGTATGACAATCATTGTAAGCGTTGTTCTCTGAGATAACAGTATAGAAATAAAAGTGATGCTGACTCATCGCAACACTCACACAAGCGTATTCGTTCTGAGCCATCTGAAATCACACACGGGCGAAGTCAGCATCAGTATCATTCAGTCGGCCATGCCCCCCTCCCTTATTTTTCATTAGCAACACTTTTGCTTTTCCTGAAACAAACATTGATCTCTATACAATTCATACAAAAATAAACTTAAAACCCCCCCAAAAAAAACCCATTTCCCATATTGTTGTTGGCATCCTGTTGAGCACAGAGGTAGTGGCTAAATGGAGGGGAGGGGTGAGAAATTGGGTAAGCAAACATTTGAAAAAAGGAAATGAAAAAAAAGAAAAGAAAAAATTTGTGTATAGAAAATGCTTTCTTTTGTTGACCAGAAGGATTTCTCGAAGAATAAAATATAATACTGCAATCACATACAAAAGTGTCCTTCATTTTTTTCTTATCTTTTTTCTTTACATTTTGTACAGTGTTCCTGCTCTTGTTGCTTTTCCTCTGACGTGTAAAGGCATAACGGTCTGCGTGAGGGTGGGCGTCCGGCCGGGACTCTACGCCAGCGGGTCTCCCATGTCATCGTCTCCTGCAGACAGCAGCTCCTTCTTCTCATCTGTGCTGGCCAGAGAGTTACGGCTGTTGTGGGCGCCCATGTAGAGGGTGGCGTACACGGGGTTGGTGAAGTTTGTGGGCTGCAAGAGAGACACTGATATCAAAATTCTGCCTGATGCAGATAAACTGATGATTATTTTTGTTATGGCCCACAACCGATAAATTGCAGACATTACAATTCTATATATATATATAATTTATAGAATATAAATATAATATATATAATATATAATTCTAATAAATAAAAAATGAAAGACCAAAAATAGTGAATTTATGCATCACAACATTATAATGTCAAGTAGACCAATGAATGGGTATTAATTTTGGGATTCGCTAAATATTAAACTGAACAGTGTTATTACATGTAATTACTTAAGTAACTTTTGACTCTCTTTTCCAGCACTTTAGACACAGTTGCTCATTTGCGCTTTAAGAAGATTAAAGAAAATAGTAGTGGTCGGACGATATATATGGCCAAGGCCGATATATCGGCCGATATTTGGCATTTTTAAAATATCACCATCATTTATAATTGATTAAATATTGATTAAAATAAATATAACGTGTATATATATATATATATATATATATATATAAAAATATCGGCCACCCTGCTCTCTAAGATATCGGCAACCAAAAAAACAATATTGGTCGACCACTAGAAAATAGTCCAACGTCATGGTACAACGAGAACACTCAGGCCCTTAAGAGAGCAGCCAGAAAAATGGAAACAAAACTAGAGTTTTTTCGCATTTCATGGAAAGAGATTGCATACAGAGAGGCCATAAAAACTGCTAGATCTGCTTATTTTTTCAACCCTTTTAAAAGAAAATAAACAAAACCCTAGGTATTTATTTGAAACAATGTGCACTCCGTCTGCGTTTTTGAGGTTTGCGCAGAGATAACTTAAAAAAAAAAAAAAATTTCTAGGCTTGCACCTTGGAATCTATTTCAGGGTTTGCGTTCTCGAGCCACCAGGCACTGTTTTGTGCGGATGAGCGGGCTGGAGCGCATGGAGTGTATTCTGTTAGAACGGTATCATGTTAGCGGCACCTAAGTTAATAACTAATGATCTTTGCAACGGAAGTGAATCAATCAATCAAAACTAACTTTAGCTGGACAATAACTTTATTCTAGAGCTGCTGTAAAGCCAAAACAATCTCTGTTACTGTAATGTCCTATTATCACGGTAAAGCTGCTTTGAAACAATCTATATTGTTAAAAGCGCTATTTAAATGAAGGTGACTTGACGAGTGTTTGTAAATAGCAACTTTTGAGCGTTAGAAGACAGCAAAGGCAATCTAAATGTAAACATTTTCAAAATCAAAATGGTAAAAGATTAAAATAGTTTAAAAATAAAACCAAAATTAATATAATATTTTAATAAGGAAAAACTAATATTGTAATATAAGTATAATAGATAATTAAAATCAAAAGAATAATTGAATATTTTTTGAGGATGTACATATATATATATATATATATATATATATATATATATATATATATATATATATATATACACAAAATCAACTGCACATACCCGAAATGATTCTAAAACTAATAATTAAAAACAATTATAATAGAAAAAAAAAAAGAAATAATATGTTATATATACAATTATAATGAATAAAAATAAATGACAAAAATCGAGTGCTTAAGAACATGAGAAAATATCATTAGTGTAACCTTATCTGGATCCAAGGTGAAGTCGGAGTCCAGCAGCTCCCCCGCATCATCATCGGGCTCTCCTTCATAAATCTTGTATGCTGGGTTCCCGATCTCAACGTTCATGGCTCCGTTGGTCATCCTCTGGTGCTGGAATCCCTTAGCTCTGCAGACACAAACACCAGTGAGCAGTTACATCTTTGTCCATGTC